GGTGGGGGGTGTCGAGGTCCTCACTGCTGGGGAAGGGATGGGGTGTCGAGGTCCTCACTGCTGGGGAAGGGATGGGGTGTCGAGGTCCTCACTGCTGGGGAAGAGGTGGGGGGTTGAAGTCCTCACTGCTGGGGAGGGATAGGAAGGGGGTCGAGGTCCTCCCTGCTGGGGGAGAGGTGGTAGGGGAACTAGGTCTTCACTGCTGGGGGAGGGGTGGGGGGGTCAAGGTCCTCCCTGCTAGGGGAGGGGTGGGAGGGAGCCTGAGGTCCTCCTGCTGGGAGAGGGGCAGGAGGCGCCCATGTCCTCACTGTTGGGTGGGGCCTGGGTGCAGGGAGCTGAGCCCCTCACCTCTAGGGTACCTGGCGGGGGACTAAGCTCCTCACTCTTGGAAGCGCCTGGGGGGCAGGGGATGAAGGTGGTTGAGGCCCTGACACTGTGGAAGGCGGCCCTGTGAGGAGGGGGCGTGGTCCCTCATGACTAGGGCAGGTGCCTTGCTGGATGGAAGATTATTCCAGACGGGCACGTCCCACCACACGGAGCGCCTGGCAGGGCTGACAGAAGTGGGCAAGGGGAGTGAGGTCCCTAGGGATGCAGGCTCGAGAAAGCACATCGATTCTGGGCAGGGTGGGGGGAGCAGCAGTTGAATGTTAGAAAAAACAAGGAGATGAAGGGAGGCTGGTCAGGGATCGGAACGGGAGAGCGAGGGATGGGGGTTGGGAGCAAGGATACCTCAAGGTGGGGTGTAGGGAAAAGCCAATGGTGTGGTCAAGACTAATGTGGAGGTGGGTAGGGCCAGGGTACAGGGCAAGGGTAAGGTGGGGTGGGGAAATGCAGGGTAGGGGTGGGGGCAAAGTGGGGTGAGGAGAACCAGGGTGGGGTGGGGTGGGGAGAACCAGGGTGGGGGGTTGGGAACCAGGGGGCAGAGGATTAAGTTGGAGGTGGGGGCAAGGGGGGAATGGGAGCAGGGGAACCCAGGTAGGAGGAGAGGGGGATGGTGGAGGTGGGGCAGGGGAAGGTGGTCCATG